ACAGATTCAGAACAACACCGGAGATCATCTGGGCGGCGATACCACGAGGCAAAATGAAGAACAGCCACTAGTAGGAGGAGAGCATAGCGGTGGGACAGGTACAGAAATTCTCGACCGCGCTCTGAGGTAACAATATTCCCTTTTGCGAACGGCCTGGCTTGTCTCCGCGCATGCACACAACGATCACTCCTCGCGAATTCTGTCTGACGTGCAACTTGCAAGCTCGCGGGGAAATACAGAGTCGGGCCTCCTCTCCTCTCCTCCCTGCACCTACCCTTCGTCCTCCTCCCCCGCCTCCCCCGCCCCCCCTCCTCCTCGCTCATTCTCTCCTTCAGCGGCCGCCGTCTTGCGGTGCGTGCGAATGTCCCACCGTCTGTGGTTGTCAGACTGTCCTTAGGACTGTCCTCTTGTCCTCGATCTCCTCCTCCTTCTCCTGCTTCTCCTGCTTCTCCTCCTCCTCCTCCTCCTCCTCCTCTCATCCTCCTTCCTTCCTCGTCCTCCCGCTTCCTCTTCCTCATCATCCTCATCCTCCCTCTTCCCCCTCTTCCTCCTCCTCCACCTCCTCCTCAGCCTTCCCTCCTCCTCCCCCTCCTCCTCCTCCTCCCTCCTCCTCCTTTTCCCCTCCTCCTCCTCCCCATTTCCTCCTCCTCCGCCTCCGTCCTCCTCTCCTCCTCCTCTCCTCCTCCTCCTCCTCTCCTCCTCCTCCTCCTCCTCCTCCTCCTCCTCCTCCTCCTCCTCCCTCCCCAACCTCCCCCCCCTCCCACTCCTCCTCCTCTTCCTCATCCTCGATCTCCTTGTTTGGCTTAAACGCTCTGCACTGCTACCCGAAACCAGTCGTCGATCGAAACCGGGCAAATACCCTCCTCCTGCTCCTTCTCCTCCTCGTCGCCTCCTCCTCCTCCTCCTCCTACTTCTGCAACACAAGGGCCCGGGCCGCAGTGGCAACTAGCCACCCGCCTGCGACGATCCACCTTGCAGCAGAATGCGCCCCCTTGGCGGGTGCGTGCACTGGATGACCTGAGCCTGGGCCATCGAACCCTGCTCGAATTCGATGCCTGCGGGACGAGACGCCATAATCCCGGACGGCGCCAGCTGCACAACCACGTAGATCCTGGCCGGTGTCCTACCCCCCTCCGCCCGTTGCACAAGTGGAGGGCCCGTCCCCCAGTCTTGTATCCTACCCCCTGCCTCCCTGCACCGCGGGGAGGGAGAAGGGGCGGGACGGGTCTTCCAGGTTCTAGCTTTTGCCCTCCCCGCCGCTGCCTCGGGTAATGATTTCTCACAACGTGGGCCCCCGGAGATGTCGACCCTTTCCCGTGGTCGGCCTTTCATCCCGAATTCTTTTTGACGCTCCTGACGCTCGTAGCCCGTCCCCTCCCCCCTCGTTTGGGGTATACTTAGGTGGTTTAGGGCGCTTCCTCTTCCAACCCCTTTCTTCCCCTTCGATGAGGTTCATCGCTGTTCCTGATGAATAGACGCCCCCTCCCGTACCCGACCAGGGACGACACCAGAACTATGTCAACACCCCCCACCATCCCTGTCAAGTTGTCGGGACGAAGGACCCAAACATAGGTAAGCGTGAATACTGTCGTTGCGGGTACCGCCTTCGGGGGATCTCCTCATTGTGCCATGAAGCATGCGAAGCGCTGTATTGTGTGAGGAGACGCGCATGCGGCCTGCGGCCACTGGGGCCTTCGGTGGAGCTCCCTATGTCTGAAAGATACGCAGGAGTAAGCTTGAGCAGCAGCAGTCTCCTGCCCGTCTGCCCTGTCCGTTCCACCGCCACCCTCGGCTCAAGGCGAGGGAGGGCGGGACTCTTTCTGACAGAGCCTGGCTGTGCCAGGCAGACCGCGCAGCCGACAGCGCGGCCGTTCATATCGTGGACAAAAGGTGTTCACTGACAATTATCACGATAATTGACATCTACACACACTTTCTCTTGCTCTTCCTCATCGTCACCAGCGTGAGCGATCTTGAGGACGAGCTCTAGTAATCAGATTGGTAGCGGAGCCTGTGGTCTCCGATAACCACGGGCTCCCACCGGTCTCGGCCTGAATGGCGACTGCAGCCGCCAGCGGGCTACCTACGACGCGCGTCGACGTCCCCTCATGGAACGGCGAGGCAGACAAGTTGACGAGCTACAAGTTTGAGGTCTCCATGTTCACGAAGAGCATCAAGACTGCGGAGCGCTACGTGTGTGGGCCGCAGCTGGTGCGCGCCCTCGGGGCGCGAGTCCGGACGACGGTGGAGAGCTGCCCGGACATCGACACGGTCGACGAGATCGACAAGGATGGAGTTTTGATTGGTTGGAACAAAGTGTTTCAGTACGTATTGGAGAAGCTGGACTTCACCAGCCTGAATGACACGGGCCTCCTCGCGGAGGAGTTCTTCCTGAAGGTCAGCAGGAACTCGGGCGAGACCTTCCAGGACTGGGCCGCCAGATTCGAGAAGAAGGAGCGGGAGCTGTTGGTGCAGCTCCAAGTCATTGATTCCAGCGTGACAGAAGTGATTGCGAAGCCTCTTCGGACATGGTGGTTCCTTCGGAAGTCCAAGCTATCCCCTGTTCAACGTGGAGAGATCACCGCCACTGCAGGTGGCGACCTCAACTTTGGTAAGACATACAAGGCCTTGCTCACGCGCGTCCCGGCGGAGGCGCTGGCGGAGCTCGACGGCAAGCAGCACCGGAGGGCCTTCTATGAGGACACGCCCGTCGACGACGTTGAGCACGAGACTGGTGGGGAAGATATTGATTTCACAGAGGTTGTCGAGCAGCTGATCACCCTCGCTGAAGAAGATGAAGATGAGGAGCCAGCTGACGACAACCCAGCGGACAACGAGGTGTTCGCAGAGTTCAAGCCGGTGGGCAGGAGCTTCAAGGACGCTCGCGACCTGATCCGACGCCTTCGAGTGTCCCGCGACTACTACCCGGTCGTGTCGCTCAAGGACCCCGATCGCGTGCCCCCGCCTCCGAACCCGGGACGAGGCTTCCATCGTGGCCGTGGCAAGAACGGTCGAGGCCGCGCTCGCTTCGACACGGGCAAGGGACGTGACATGTCCAAGATGAAGTGCATCGCGTGCGGCGAATATGGTCATCGAGCGGCGGACTGCAACGAGAGGTTCAAGAAAGATAATACGAGAGATGGAGCTCGCGGGACTACTCACAACGGCTTCGTCCTGTCCGCCCTCGACGAGTACCTCTACCTCCTGGAGCGCGACGGCATCTGGGCGATCCTCGACATCGGGGCCACGAAGAGCCTCGGCGGCCTCGAGAGCGTCGAGAACCTCATGTACGAGATGCTGGACCAGCACGGCCAGGAGTTCGAGACGACACATGACGAGTGCTCATTCACCTTCGGCGACGGCCTCCAGAAGAGCTCGATGGGCACGGTGAAGGGGAACGTGTTCCTCGGCGGCGACCTGACCGAGGTCAAGCTGTCGGTGATGCCGAACCGCGTGCCGATCCTCCTGGGCATGGACATTCTGACTGACTCGCTGAAGGTGGTGGTCGACTGCGGCCGGAACTGGATCGGCCTTCCGACCATGGGCAACAAGGTGTTCTTCTGCGAGCGCCTCTCGAGCAACCATCTGGCCGTCAACCTGACGACGCCGCAGTGGTGGAAGGAGGTGCCGCTTTCCCTGCCGAGTGCCGGGTGCCTGACGTCCGAAGCGACGGCGCCTGATGTTCTGGTCGAGGAGCTGCCCGAAGAGGCCGCTCCGTGCAGCTGCTGCCCTGCGGTGCGCTAGGGACAGCGCCCCCTGATGATGGCAGCAGAAGAGAAGTTATCTCGATTGCCAACTTCATCATCGGGGGGGCCACACCGACTCGGTCACCGCGAGTTCGAAACACCTACCAGAGCGACGGAAACCTCGGCGGCGCGGACACCTACCAGAGCGACGGAAACTGCGACACGGAGCGGATCGGCTCGAGCGACGGAAACCTCGATTTCGTTCGGACGGACGGTCATGGCATCCGACCGGCTCTCTTCATCATCACCGTCGATCGGGACATCATCACAGTCAAGAGGACCGTTAGCAAGCAAGCCTCAGGATCAAAATATGGAAAAGCAAAGCGATGAGCCAGCACAATACCAACGGTGTTCATCATCATGCTGTTCGCAGCCACCTTCGGCTCAGTTCATCAACTCGGCAATAGCCTCAACCAGCAGTCTTTCACGACCTCCATATTCTTCCCAGGCCGCCACTGGCCGCTTGGATGACATGCAGCGACGGTTCTTTGGCTGGGCAATCCTCGGAGCAACAGCCGCCACCTGTGCCTGCGGCCCGCCCCGAGTGGAGCCGCCCTCGCACGAGGGGATCGACAACTTCGGCTCCAGCGACCCCGACGCCAGCATCTGCAGCAACACCAGCTATTCCGGCGCTACCAGCGAAGTGGTACAACCCAGCGGGGAAGTGCGGCTGCTGCGGAGCTCTGGGGAAGACCAAACGCGGGTGCAGCTGCTTCGGGGGCAAGAGCCACCAGTGCCTCAAGACCTCACAGCAGGGAGCACCCGGGACGCCAGCAGCGGCACCAGCAGCGGCATCAGCAGCGGCAGCCAGCAGCGCCCCACCGAGTCAAAAACACAAAAACAACCAAAGATATAACAAAACAATCCAAACCCAACATGCGGGGGGGCTCAGTCCAGTTACGAAGACCTCCGAAGACCGCGGCTCCTGCTGCGGGACCCTCGGAGAAGACGATTCTGTGGGCGCAGCAAGCCGCGGAGGCAATAGCCACACAGTGTAACGCAGGCTGACGTAGGTTGACGCATCCGTCGAGCAGGCAGAGTCTCGACGCAGGTGGCGGTCCTTTCCCACACGCTGAACTCCCCGGATGTGGCATGAAAAAAAAAACAACCAAAAAAAAAATAAACCACTAAAACAAAAAGACATATAAAGAAGAATAACAAAAACCTCCACCCAGCGCCCAAACCCACCGGATTTGGGGGGCAGGCAGTTCACGATACTATTCCGAGATGCTCGACGACTCGGAACTGCCGGAGATGGACTCGAAGAGGAAACGCTGAAGCATCTCGACGACCAGGATCTCAAGATGTTCTACGAGAGCCACGACAAGGTCCTGGACGAGATCTACCAGACCATCGCCGAGGACCTGACGGAGCTCGGCAGGCCCTACCGCATCGACCTGATGGAGGTGTGCTGTCCGGAGGACTCGAGCCTCAGCAAGGCCGTGCAGGACCAGGGAGGCAAAGTGTTCAGGTGCGGCCTCTTCAATGGGATCGACATGGGAACGGCAACCGGGCTTCGACGCGCGCTTCACCTTCTCCGACGACTCCGACCGCGCCGCTTGGTTCTCAGCCCGCCATGTACAGCAGACTGCCCGATCCAGAATCTCAACCAGAAGACAGCTCAGCAGAAGGCCACGTATCTGGCGAAGGTGCGCAAGGCCCGACGTATCCAGCGGAACTGCAAGAGCCTCTGGGAAGACTCGAAGAAGATTCACGACTGCCACACCGAGCTCGAACAGCCAGCTTCCAGCCGAAGCTGGACCAGGTCGCCCTCGATCAGGGCGATGCGCGACCAGATGCACGAGACGATCATCCATGGCTGTGCGTATGGACTTCGCGAAGCTCGTTCCGGCCTGCTGATGAGGAAGGCATGGCGCATATGCTCGACAGACCCGGAGTTCGGCGCGAAGCTCGGCAGGACGTGCTCCAACCGCCCTGGCAGGGGCGACAACCACACACACCGCCCCATCGAGGACGGACAGGTGGTGGCCCAGACGGCCTTTTACCCACCGGCACTGTGTAAGGCTTGGGCAAAGCATATCCTGAAGACGAACACCAGCGCGAGGTACGGCAAGGAGATCTTCACCAGCTTGGAACAGATCCCAGAGGACGCTGAAGAGGAGATGGAGGAGGACCTCGACGAGGACCTCTTGCAGGATAACCCCGAGGCCATGGACGACGAGTCGGACATGAAGGGCCTGGGCATCTCCGAGACACCGACCAAGAAGGAGGAGCTGGAGATCGAGCAACGGCTGACGCGGCTCCACCGCAACCTCGGCCACCCGAGCAACAAGACACTGTACAAGATCCTCAAGGCATCGGGAGCACCTCTCCAGGTCCTACGAGCAGCTCTTCGCCACCAGTGTCACGCATGCCATGCGGGACAATTACCAAAAGCCGTCAGGGTCGCCTCGGGCATCGAGTTGCCAGGCGTCCTAGAGGTGCTGGCCTCCGACGGGCTCGAGTGGCTCTCGCCGAAGCAGGACTCTTTCCTGATGACGTTGAACATCGACGAGGGATCCGGGCTCACCAGTGTCACCTATCTTGGACAGAAGGGAGAGCGCAATGGCAACAGATCGACTCAGGAGGTGATTTCAACATGGAATGACTGGTGCGGACATTACCGCCGCCCCAGCCTTCTCCGTCTGGACCCCGAAGGATGTCATCGTTCACAAGCAGTGGCCAGGTGGTGTTCGGACCGCGGCATCGAGCTGTGGATTGCCCCGGGCGAGGCCCACTGGCTGATGGGCATGGTCGAGAGGCGCATCCAGCTTTTCAAGCGACTGATGACGAAGCTGGCAACGCTGGACCCCGACTGCCCGGTCGAGGAGTTGGTGTCCTGGGCCGTGAGCGCGATCAACAGCATGGACAAGGTCGGCAACCACTCCCCGTTCGAGCACGTGATGGGCGTCTCTGGGATGCCGGCCTCGAGCAACCCGTTCGCCATCATTGACGGGGACACCGGGGAGACTCAGGAGCAGAGGCGCCTCCTCGCGCGCAAAAGCTTCCTGGAAGTAGAGTATGCTGAGCGTCGGCGACACGCCGAACATGCCCGCAACCGGGTCTATCAGACCTGGAATCCGGGGGACCTCGTCTACTTCTGGCGCAAAGGGAAAGGCCTTGACCCTCGCCCTGGGAAGAAGGGCGGATGGTACGGCCCTGCTCGTGTCCTTGCTCAGGAGAAACGACGCGTGGACGGGCGCACCCGTCCGACCTCGGTCATCTGGATCTCCCACGGGAGCGTGCTCATCAGGTGCGCCCCGGAGCAGCTGCGCGTCGCCTCGGAGGCAGAGAAGATGATCGTCGAATTGCAGCGGCAGAGCAACCTTGGCAAGACCATGACGGAGATCTTGGAGACAGCCAAGGGCGGTACCTATGAAGACCTTCTCGGACAAAATCCTCCAGACCTCCGAGAATACGAGCCTCCACCGCAGCCGACGATGGCGATCCCCGCGACCGAGGGCCAGGCTCTCGAGAACAACAGCGAGGCGGGACTCCCCTCAGGCGCCGACAACGACACACCCGGGGCTCCTGATTCCTCCAGGCCACCAACACCCAGCTCAGCGACGCAACCTGAAGTGGAACCGAGTGAACCAGATGTCCGACGGTCCCGGTCACCACCGGCTCGTGCAGCTGACCGGTCAGCAGCCCCATCACGAACGCCAGGGAAAGCATCTACCTCGGCAGCAGTCAGGACGGAGTCTCGAACAATAAACACAAACAATAAAAACAAACCAATAAAAAAAAAAAAAAAAAAATCAAAAACAAAAAAATACACTACAACAACAAAAATAAAGAAGACACAATAAAAATAATAAAAATAAAAACAAAACAAAAACGACAACCAAGAACAAAACACCACTAAACATAAAACCAAAAAAAACACAACAACAACAAAACAAACAAAAAATAACTGAGACAATAGCACAAACAACCAATTAACAACCCCATACCCAAACCAACCCGGACACCACCCCAAAACAAACCCAAATACCCTCCCCCCACCCCCCAACCCGCCCCACGCAACCATAAAACCCCCCCCGAACAGCAACGCGTCCCGCCTCCCTCGGAACCTCGAACCACATAACGGCGCCAGGTGCCTGCATACCCGATGCGAGTCGAGACCTCAATGGCGCATGACACACCGGTACCAAAAACAAGGAAAAAAAAAAAGCTCGATCTGTACGCACCGCCGGAGAAGCGACAGAAAGGCGCAGACGAGGATATGGCCGACGCGCTGTTCGACAGCAACCACCTGGTCGACCTCTTCAAGGACAAGCTGGACATCACCCTCGGCATCGACGAACAGCAGACCGTCTACTTTGAGTACTTGCAGGACGAGATCACCACTCCAGACGGACGCCGAGGTTTGATGAGCCACATCCTGGACAGCTTCGTCGTCAACCAGCGCCGGAAGGACAAGGTGGAGCTGACCTGGTCCAAGATGAACGCCACCGATCGTGAGGAGTTCGAGGCAGCCATCGCCAAGGAGACGAACAACTGGGTCCAGCATCAGGGACTCCGCGCTGTCCCGACATCTCGGGTCAAGGACGCGGCGGACGTCATCCGGGCAAGGTGGCTCTTCACCCGCAAGTCCGATGGGAAGGCGAAGGCCCGGCTCGTCCTCCTCGGCTACCAGACGAAGGACCTAGGACAGGAGCCGACAGCCAGCCCCACCGCGTCTCGGCGCGCCGGTCACGTGATGCTAACAGTGGCCGCCGCGAACCGCTGGAAGCTCATCAAGGGCGACGTCACCTCCGCCTTTCTGCAGGCCCACGACCTCGACAAGGACCTCTTCATCGAGCCAGATGCCGTCCTCAGAAAGGCCTTCCACGTGCAGGAAGGGGAAATCCTCCAGGTCGTGAAGCCTGGATATGGGATCGGCGAGGCGCCCCGGCACTGGTGGGAGACGGTCAAGCACGACTTTGCGAAACTTCGACTCCAAGCCTGCGAGTTGGAGCCCTGTCTCTGGAAAGCACGATGTTCCAGGACGGGTATGCTCATCGGTATGATCATGGCCCACGTCGACGACTTCATCATGGCAGGAGATACCTCCCACCCTGAGTGGCAGGGCATGGTCAAGCAGATCCGAGGGCTCTACAAGTGGGGCACCTGGGAGGACATGAATGACGGGCTCACCTCTCTCGAACAGTGCGGCGCCACCATCGAGGAGAGCGAGCAGGGCTTCTTCCTACACCAGAAGTCGTACATCGACAAGATCAAAGAGGTCAAGGCGGCCAGCGGCAGTAAGCATCGGACCACCGACAGCCTCAAGGACTCTGACAAGACGGTGCTCAGGGCGTTCTGCGGCGAGATCTACTGGCTTGGCGTGAATACCATGCCATTTCTCTTATCGTGGGTAGCCGACCTCCAGATGAAGATACCATCAGGTACTCACAACCTCTTCACGGCCGCTAACAACATCGTCAAGCTCGTCAAGCAGAGCCGCCACATGGGGATCAGGATCTACCGGCACGCCCTGGACGACCTCGCCATCTTCACCTGGAGCGACGCAGCCTGGGCCAGCCGCCCGGATGGACACTCCCAGGGTGGTCATATCACCGCTATCTCCTCCAAGGCGGCCATGGACGGGAAGCTCTCCGAGTTTACGGTCCTCGACTGGGGCTCCAAGAAGCTGCGCCGCGTGGCTCGGTCAAGCCTGGCGGCGGAGGTGCAGGAAGCCGGCGACGCCGAAGGCGAACAGAGCATGGTGCGACTGGTACTTGCCGAACTTCTACACAATATGTCTCCACTGCAAGATACCGCAGCAGCACTACGACGATTACCAGCCATCCTGGTGACGGACTGCAAGGCCTTCTACGACGGCGTGGTACGATCTCAGTCGGCGGGACTGGGACTGGAAGAGCGGAGGACAGCCATCGAGGCTTTGGCTCTCCGCAATGCCTTGGACGAGGGTCAAACGGTCGTGCGCTGGGTTCACTCACGCGCACAGATCGCCGACGGCCTCACCAAGGCAAGCTGGCAGGCATTCGGAGTGGTCAGGGCCTTCCTCGAGAAGCAGCAGTGGCGCCTCATCTACGACGAGCAGTTCATGAGCGCTCGCAAGCGGGCAGCTCTTGGCAAGGGCATCTTCGACGAGACGGACCCGACTGACCCGGCCTCAGCTCGTCAGGTACTCGAGGAGCGTAGGTTGGCCCGCCAGGCACAACCACCAGCCAGCATGGAAGGGAACCCTTCCAGCTCGACGACCTCAACTGGGTTCTCGGCCTCCGAATCCCTGATCATGATCCAGAAGTTGCAGCAGGAGATCGAGGCCCATCAGAAGTTCGTCCAGCAGCACACACGGAGCGCAGAGATTGCCTGCGCGCACGGTACAGGGCAGAACCTTTTTCCCCCTGTCTGAGAGATACGCAGGAGTAAGCTTGAGCAGCAGCAGTCTCCTGCCCGTCTGCCCTGTCCGTTCCACCGCCACCCTCGGCTCAAGGCGAGGGAGGGCGGGACTCTTTCTGACAGAGCCTGGCTGTGCCAGGCAGACCGCGCCGACCGACACGCGGCCGTCCATATCTGTGGACCAAGGTGTTCACAGACAATATCACGATAAATTGACACTACACACACTTTCTCTTGCTCGTCCTCATCGTCACCAGCGTGAGCGATCTTGAGGACGAGCTCTAGTAATCAGACTATGGGGCCACAAAGCGCTGTACTGGGTAGGGGAGACGCAGGCGAACACCGACGTTGGGGCCTTCGGTGGAACTCCCTTTGGGGCCACGAAACTGGGGCCTTCGGTGGAGCTCATTATGGTGCCACGAAGCGCTGTGCTGGGTGGAGGAGACGCATGCAAACACCGCCACTGCGGCCTTCAGCGGAGCTCTATGTGGGGCCACGAAGCGCTGTGCAGGGTGGGGGAGACGCACGCGAGCACTGCCACTGGAGCCTTCGGTGAAGGTTAATATGGGGTAATGAAAAGCTGGACTGAGAGGGGGGGACGCATGCGAACACCGCCACTGAGGTCTTCGGTGGAGCTCCCCATGGGGCCACGAAACGCTGTACTGTGTGGGGGGATGCATGCGAACGCTGCCACTGGGCCTTCGGTGGAGCTCCCTATGGGACCACGAAACGCTGTACTGGGTGGGGGAGACGCGTGCCAACACGGCCACTAGGGCCTTCGGTGAATCTCCCTATGGGGCCACGAAGCGCAGTATTGAGCGGGGGAAACGCATGCGAACTACAATCGAATAATCAAACCTTCTCCAAGCAAATGAGCCGTCAAGCTCCGTCCAGAAAACGCTGGGGACCTCTGGATACCGTACCTCTGGAAGCGTCAGAAACGCAAGCCCGATGTTTTCAGAATGCGACGGCATTTCCATTTTTTCAGCGCAGCTTTCGTTTGGAAGCAGGCAAGTGTTCTTCCCTCCTCCCTCCCTGCCGCCTGCTGGGGCACCCGGGGACCTCAGGCAACCTTCAGAAAGCTGGGGGGCCCTGCAGACCCACTAGAGGCTTCAGAAACACGGATTCAAGAATTGAAATTCGGCAGCCCTTCCTTTGTGTTCACGTCAGGTATCTTTTGGAAACAAGATGGGGCCACGAAGCGTGTGAGGGGTGTGCCGACATGGGCGGGGAGCCGCATGTGGATCCCCCCACAGAGACCCTCGGTGGAGAAACGTGTGAGGGGTATGCGGAAATACGTGCGGTGGCGCCATGCGAACCCTGCCACTGGGGCCTTCAGGTGTGCCGACATGGGTGCGATGGCGTCATGCGAACCCTGCCACTGGGACCTTCAATGGAAGTCCATATGGGCCCACGAAGCGTGTGACAGTTGTGCCGAAATAGGTGTGGTGGCGCCATGCGAACCCTGCAACTGGGGCCTTCGGCAGAGCTCCGAATGGGGCCACGAAACGTGTGAAGGGTGTGCGGAAAATTGGCGCGGTGGCGTCATGCGAACCCTGCAACTGGGGCCTTCGGCGGAGCTCCCTATGGGGCCACGAAGCGTGTGAGAGGTGTGCCGAAATTGATGGGGGACGCATGGATGAGGATGATGGGATGATGGGTGGCGCTGAAGGAGAAAGGAGTGAGGAGGAAGGAGGAGGAAGGAGGAAGAGGAGGAGACGAGGGGCGCTGCCTAAAACGAGGATCCAACACCACAAGCTGGTTGTGAAAAACATAACAAAAACAACACGTTGCGGCAAAATCTGGATCATGCGACGGCACCAAGCGATTGCTCCGAATTGTTGTTTGACAGGGGCGAGGGGAGGGGCTGCTCATTACCTGCTGCGAGCAGGAGCATCATCCATTGCACAATGCGAAATGCAGTTTGCGGTCAAATCTTGATCATGCTCGGGCGCCGCGCTGTTATTTGACAGGGGGTGATGGGCGTGTCCTGGCACGCGCGACGCACCTCGCCGGCGTCGCGCCGTTGTCTGGCGTCTGCGTTGTTTCCTTATGATTGTCGATGGCGGCGGCCCATGCTCATGCTGAGACTGCGGTGCTACTTATGTGGTGGGAAAGCGACCGGGAGTGAGCGACGCGGCTGCCATTCGGGGGGGAATCTGGATCACTGCTCCTTATCAATACACAACCGCCGATCTTCCCTTGCAGCAATCCATACAAAGTGCACTTTGCACCAGAATCTGGATCATGCGCGGACGCCCCGTGATCACTTTGCATTGGTTTTTGACGATGGCATGGGGGCTGGCATCTTACGTGCCTGCTTTGTGTAATGTGGACAACCCCCTACCACCCCTGTCAAAAACACTGGAAAGTGCACTTCACGTTCTTGGGTCACGCTCGGGGGCCCCGGGAGCACTTTGCATTGTGTGTTGACATGGACGGCGGGGGTGCCAAGATATGGCCTGCTGTCCGCAGGGCTACCATCCTTGCCAAGAAGCAGTACAACCTGCACTTCGCAGCTACATCTGGATCATGCGGGGGCCCCCGCGATCAATGTGCTTTGATGTTTGGCAGGGGCGGCGGGGGTGCTGGCATATTGCTTGCTGTGTGCAGGCCCACCAACCATCATGATTGCCACTCCGCCGCGATTGCTCACTGTTTTTGAAAAAGACTGTGGTGGCTGGCATGTTTCCCGAATGCACGGGCGCACCTGGCACATTCGGTGGGTGCCCCGAACGTGGCGCACATGACGCGACTGGAGGATGCGGCACGCTAGGCGCAAGTGGAACACGTGGCACATCTGGCGCACCAGCCGTGCCTGGCACGCTTGCGCCTCAAGGGCGCCTGGTGCGCGTGGCGCGCCTGGCACGCGTGACGCGCCTGGCACGCGAGTTGCGCCTCGCCCCAGCGTCGCGCACCTGGGGTCTGTATTGGCTCCCAGACGACCGCTGAATATGTTGAGACTCTGGTGTCACTTATGTGTCGGGAGGGCGGGTGGGAGTGAGCCAAACAATTTGCGCCTGGGGGAGGTGTCCCTCCCCGTAACCCTAACCCCCTCCCACTGGGTCTGGACGGGTCTTTATGGTTTGGCCCAATGTTGGCATCCTAGGGGCAGGGACGCTAGCCCAAATAGCCTCGCAAGTGGCCCCAATACGGCCCGACAAACCCTCAAGAGAACCCTAAGTCCCCCCTGCGGCACCCAATACGATCCGATATGCCCCCCCTAGAGCCAACACGAGGCCCAAGATACCTCGAGGAGGGCCTCCAAAGACATCCCAAGACCCTCAAGGAAGCATTCAAAAGGGCCTCTGGCACACACAAGCCCCCAATGTCTCCAAATGATGCAACGCTCCCCCGTTCAGGGCAGCTCCTCCCGCTGGGCATCGTGTCAGCATGGGCTGGCAAGCATACGCGAAACGCGAAAAACTGCCAAGCACCTTTCCTCGTGCTGCATGATGCGAGGAGGTCAAAACTCCAAACGAAAGCGAACAAACGCTACTTTTGAGCTCGAGATCGGCGCGCGCGTCGTCTTGGGTGGCCGTCCGCAGCACACGCACACACACACACGTCCAGGGCCCTGGGCGGGCCCAGCCAGGGTCGGTGTACAGCCGGCGTCATCCGATCGATGAAGAGGGTTGGAGTGGTGGGGGATGAGATGGAAGTCGTTAAATCCTGATAGTAAGGGGGGTACAAATTATAATACATATATATATATAGATAAGACAAAAAAGAGAAAGAGAGAGAGAGAGAGAGAGACAGAGAGGGAGAGGGACAGAGAGGGAGAGGGATACTGAAGAAAAAGAAAGAAGAAAAATAGAGAGAGAGAGAAAGAGAGAAAGAGCGAGAGAGAGAGAGAGAGAAAAAAAAAGAGAGAGAGAGG